GACCCCTCAGTGGGAGCCCAAAACCGTGCCGGCGGCGGGCTCCTTCCAGCTCCCCGAGTTTTCGGAGCGTCGCAGGGGGGATGCGGCACGCTCCGGCTCCGGAGCCGCAGCCACCGCGCTTGGATCCCTGGAGACGAGCCTGCCTCCCGGACTGCCGCTCTGCCAGCAGCGCAGGAGCACCAGGCGGTTAGGGGAAGGGGAGAAGGAGCGCGGGTGAGCAGGAAGATAAAACATTTTACGTTGAGTACTTTTAAAACTGTTCTTAATGTGCAATAAAAGCGGCTGCTTCGCTTTTTCATGAACTGTGTGCAAAAGGAGAAGCAATGACTGTAAAGTTGTCGTCGGTTAGGTTTGGTTTATAGTGGCGGAGGCTGCCCAATAATGTGGGCTTGGAAAAGGTAAACAACGTAGTTTTAACAGTGAAAAATATGCCTAATATAAACGCAGTGAAGTTCATTGCTGTTCAGAACTTGAGAAATACGACTGTAGCATTGCGTTTTCTAGCGGAGTTAACAGAGGAGCACAGTGCAGCCTTACGAGCCATATATCTGAGACAGGGAAAATAGGTAATACATCTAACTGGGGAGTCTCTGTGGCATTCGCATAGAGGAAAGCACAGTAGCTTTATTTAATTGAGAAAATGAATCAATTACAATGATATTGCATCATCAAATGCAAGGGAAATAGCAGATATGTCATTACATCGGGTAACAGTGTTAAAAAGTAATTGAGTGTCTTAAGCATTTTGAATCAATTCCAGGTACTGGCACAGCTACCTTAATGCAAAATTTATGAAGATGATCTCAAAATAATATGTCGCCATCAAAACGGTGTAATAAAACCCAGTAACGATGTGTGTGTGAGCGAGCACACGTCTCTCCCTCTCGTGGAAGCTGGGCCCGCTGCTCCGGCGGAGAGTTGCGGTGTCACGGGCAGAATTCTGTAACGCTTCGATTTGCGTTGCGTGATTTTTTTCCTTAGAAGCACTGAGCGCTTTTATTAGAAATAATATTTTAAATCTTGTTCTGAGGTTGGATGTAATCGTGTCTGTGTTGAGGCTACTGCGTATGATCCCACCTCTGTTCCTTCTCACGACAAGACCTGTTCTCCCAGTAAGGAAGTGGGAGCGATGCTCTGTTTGGATGAAAAACTGAATTGCCTGTTCGTGTGCGCTGATTGAAAGGGGCTCCCAATCATCCCTGTTGAACCAGCCGAGGCTGTTTTGTCGTTTAGCATCTGGAGGTGAAGTATGGAAAAAAGTCTGTTCAAATCCACAGAATATTTTGCTTGTTAGCAGTAATGCAAACCAGCAGGTTTATTCTGTTGGATTGTAATAGATTGACATCGACCATTAATAAATAGAACAGGCTACTTCTAGCTATTTATTACTTTCTTTTCGTCCTTGGAAAAAATAGAATTACACGCAGAAACTTCATGGGTATATTTGTGCGCTACTAACACGATAATGAAAGACTGCACGTGCATGATCCCAGCTCTTTTCCCGGTGCTGGTTTCAACCTGCGCTATCTTACGTTTGACCCCCTGCCAAGCGTGACCGGAGGCTCCTGCCCCGGGCTGGGACCGGGGGCGAGCGCTTCCAGAGCTGGTGGGGGCCCTGCTGCCTTCATCATCATGGCACTCCGCAGAATGTGAAATGCACGGGGCGAGCCAAATCCGCGGCGTTGGAACAGGAGACGACGTTGTCACGGAGGGCTGCGTGCGTGGTCGGGTTGGGTCGCGAGCAACGTTGTGTCTGTGCAGGAATAAGACCTCATTAATTACCCACACCCGTTAGAAATGGTACACATGTACAAATTACCACTACGTGTTGTGCGTGAGGTGCCTGCTCTGTGCTGCCGGTGGAGTGGTTTCTGTTCGTTCTGCCCTGGTTTCTTGTTGTAAGCCAAAGGTGCTCCGCCGCTACGGGCCGGAGGGTTTTGTCGCTCTCCGTAAGCAAGCGAATGGTCTGTTCCTACAAACTGTTAATGAATTCCCAAACAAACTGGTGTTAAGAAGTTTAGAAGGGCTGGGAGACAACCGGTAACAAGTCTTTTCTTTGCCACTTAAAGCAACGCAAAGTTCATCGAACTTTCCAGCCGCGCAGATGGCGATGATCCACTTCTAGGCAAACTGGGTTGGAATACGTAAGAAACTTGGGTAAAAGTGGAGTATTAAAGGCTTTCCCGAGCAGCAGCAGATACTTCAACCACATAATTAAAGTTTTCTTCACAAAAAAGGGATTGTGAGCGGAGTCTGGCAGCAATCCAAAATTCTAATTTCTGACTATGATTTAATTTCAATTTTAAATAAATCGGTTTTTAATTTAAAAAGAGTGAGCTTCATAACATTAGCAATGATTGCAACATTAAGCCCAGTGTTCACAATCTAGCAATATAAAACATTATTTATATCTGAATCGTAAACAGCCTTTTGAAATGGATTATGGTTTTTCTTCCTATTCTAATACAACCTGGAGGGTACTAAAAAGTGTTGTGTGAAATTAACATTCTGCTGACTTTCGCCTATAAATGAGAAGCGAGCTATTAACATTTGTGTATTTTCATTATGTAAATTGTGTTAACACATGCCCACAAATTGCCACCAGCGATGCAATAATTTTCTCTCAGTGATCATAATGTGTCCAAGTGAGTCATTTTGATTATGACATGCTAATTACATATTGCCTTTTTTCAGATTCAGAAAAACCAGGGATCTTTAATGGTAAGCTTTATGAGTTCAGAAAAAAATTCACTTTTCTTTTTCCTGATGGCTGCTTCCTCGGCATGCTTGAATGCCTTGTTTTAAACTTAGCAAATTGCATTTTGAGGAAAATGCAAACCTTTAACTGCCTGTATTAGATTAGGTACCATTAGAAATAATAGAACATCCTGAGCATCAGTGTTTTTATAAGAGTTTGCTGCTGTTGATTAATCTTGCTATATTTTATTGCATTAATGATTTTTTCTTTCCACTCCACTGTAAAGATATTGCATATAGGCTAATACTTTTTCCCTCTCTTCTTCCCATTGCAGCCTCTCCAGTTATTGCAGTGCATTGTTGATGAGGTGAGTCGTCGTCTTATGTGCTTTCACTCCTAAAGTCATTCCTAATGGAGTGGAAAGCTGATATTTTGTTTCCTAATGAAGCACAATGCCCGCCATCCTCAGAGCGCGAGCTGCCTCGTGCAGCGTGGAGCTGGCGAACACGAGCTGGCCTTCTCCCACTTTCTGCTGCTTTTCTGCTGTTACCGTTGAGCCTTGGAGAGACTCGGTGGTCGCAGAGGCGAGTCCTCGCAGCCAGCCAGGCCCCGAGGGCTCAGCCTCGTCGCGCGCGTTGGTCCCGTGCGCCGGCCACAGGAGTTGGAACAGAGGCATGTGAGTGGCAGCACACTTTAGCAGGCAGATTTAGTGCGGTTTAGATAGGGAAAAAGGGTGTTTGGATAGCGAGAGAAAACCAGAGTGTGAGTGGGAAAGCACCTGAACATCACCTGGGTGTTTTGATTTAATCAGAAGGACAAAATAAATCGCTGAGACGCGGCAGATCCGGGTGTGAGCAGTAGGCTGAAGTTCAGTGGCTGACGTCGCGTTTCTCGATTGAAACGCTTTGCAGCTCCCGTCTCCACCTCGAGTGCTGTGCTCAGCTTTGGGCCCCTCACTCCAAGAAGGACACGGAGGGGCTGGAGCGTGTCCGGAGAAGGGCAGCGAGGCTGGGGAGGGGGCTGGAGAACAAGAACTATGGGGAGCGACTGGGGGAGCTGGGGCTGCTCAGGCTGGAGAAGAGGAGGCTGAGGGGAGACCTTCTCGCTCTCTGCAGCTCCCTGACAGGAGGGGGCAGGGAGGGGGGGTTGGGCTCTGCTCCCCAGGACCCAGCGACAGGACGAGAGGCGATGGCCTCAGGCTGCGTCAGGGGAGGTTCAGGTTGGAGATTGGGGAAATTTCTTTGCTGAGAGAGTGGTCAGGGGTTGGGCCAGGCTGCCCAGGGCAGTGGGGGAGTCCCCATCCCTGGAGGGGTTCAAACACTGTGTGGATGTGGCACCTGGGGACATGGTTTAGCAGGCGTGGGGGTGTTGGGGTGACGGTTGGACGTGATGATCTCAGAGGTCTTTTCCAACCTACAAATCTATGATTCAAAGTGAGGTGTAAGCATAGGTCCCACCTCTTGACAGTAAGCAATAGCCAAGGGCAGACTACTGTCAGTTTTGCTTTGGTTTTAATGTTTAAGATGATGATAATGATGATAATTAGGAAGTTTGAACGAGAGAAAAAAGCCATAACTTTTTGAAGACTTGGATCAGCCTCCAGTAGAACGTCATTACTGGCTCGTCAGGTTGGAGTCGCTGGGCATTAGACCCTTCAGCTGCCCCCAGCCTGTCCCGTGTAACGTGTTTGTTAACTTGGTGTAAGCTCGCAGCCAATGCAATGCCCAAGTACTCTGCCTTGCTGGTATCACCATCTGTAACTACTACTTGTGTGAACTGCTAACTCGCTGCTCTTACCTGTGCTCGATACTTTTGTCCTCTTATTAGAGAATGGCTTACTGACTTAGCTGAACTTCTTAAAAGTGACATTTGGGCCTTGAGGGATGCCATTAAATGAAAATGAAGGAGTATCCTTTGTGCAAAGGAGAGAAGTTCTCCCGGTCCTCCAGCAGCGCCAGCTCTTTACCTGGCTCTTTATGGTGGTCTGGTTCTTTGGGAGGCTTTTAGGCAATTCTTCTTTCATCCTTTTCATCCGTTGTTGTTCCTCTTACGTATGTCTTTGGTTGAGGCATGGAAATTCCAAGGCACCGATGCTGTGTGTACCAGCAGCAAAAGGGCATCTCTATCCTAAAAAAGTTAAGTTAAAGGTGCTCATTATTTGTACTTGTGTTTTACTACTGCTTGACAAATTACCTTTAAATGGCCTGGTGCTAGTGCCTATACCTAAGCTCAGCATTCTAAAACAGAGCCCTAAAAAGCTGCTCGTTATGGCAGAGGGAGAATTGCTCCAGTCTTCTTACAAAAGCTTGAACCAAGGAACTTTGTGCAGACTGTAAACATCTGAGCGCTGAGCTAGCTTTAACGGTAGCGTTTTGGTATTTACTTGTTTGAACTTCTTTCATATTCCACGGTGTGCCACGGAACCATCACCCTCCTGAGCTGGTGGTGCGGAGCGCGCTGTGCTCGTGGGCACGTTAAGGCTTCAGGTTACAGAGCGTGGCTCAGCTGAAAGTTCTGTAAGTGCAGCTGGCTTTGTTCTGCAGCACATTCGGTGTCTAAATGGAAGTTGCGTGCCATAACGTTCGGAGCCTGGGGGAAGAGGAGAATGGATTGGCTCTGTAGTGTTATTTGCTCAGTACGTGTGTATTGTTAAGGGGTCATTTAATAAGATATATAGCGTGTAGATAGTGGCTGCCACACCTGGAAGTGCAAATTCTTGGCGTGATGGTGTCTTGGAGGACATTGATATTTGGGGTTATTCTGTTCTGGCTGATGGCTGGCGTTGACTGTAACAGATCCTCCTGCCACCCCCAGCCCTGTCCTGTGCGCAAAGACCTCAAAGCAAAATGCATTGAACTTGTGGCTGTTCTTTTTTTTTCCTCTTCGCTTTGTCTTTTGTAGGATGTGCCTCCTGGGGAATAAGAGAGGGACCTGCTTCTCTGGATAATGCGCGCTCCTTCTGCACAAGGACCTTGCGAGAGGGAAGGTCTCTTTAGTAGCTGATACTGTGCAGCTGTTGTTGCTACCAGGAGTATTAAGGATTAGAAATGCTTAGTGTTGTAAGACTGATCATTTTGGGTCAAATTTTCCCCTTGGCTGTGAGGAGGTCCTAAAACTCCCAGGAGGCAGGAGCAGAGCCCCGCTCCCGCAGCTGCGCTGTGCAGCCCGTCCCCGTAGGAACGCCCGGGTGCTGGCGCTGAATTCCCCCCTTCCACAGTGATGAGCGGAACAGCGAGGAGCTCGTCTCTTCCCCCAAGAGCACAGCAGTGCTCCCGGAGCAGCTCGGCTGCCGGGTGAGCCACGCTGTCCCAGGGCATGGGAGGAGCAGAGCTGCGAGGCTGCGATCGAGCCACCCCAACAATCTCCGGTCCCCATGTAGCTTCATGCCGTAGGAATAATTTGCTGACGTTGTTGCCATTGAACACTCTGGGTCTTTTTTCCTCAAGTCCCTTAATGTGGTTTTTTGTGTGACGGAGAATGGTTTGGACTTTTGGCTCCTCAAAATGTGATATAACAGTTTTATGGGAAAGAGCGTTTCTTGAAATTGGGTCTTGGCCAGCAGTGCGCTCACGCCAGTCTTTCCCCCTGGAGCCAGCTAAAAAATCCAGATCCCGATACGGGGAGAACCTAGAAGTTTTTAAAACTCTTGGAACTGGAGTAACGTGAAGACCTTGATTCTTTCTAATAGTTGCTTGGTGTATTGGCAGTCGTTGGGGTTTTGCAAAACCGTTCCACGTTCCACCAAAAGACCGCGATAGTCCAAAAGTTAATGTTCTGTTCATTCATAATTATCTTTAATTCATAGGGTTTCTTGATGACTGAACTAGTGAAGAGGTTGCTTCTGTCTTACGCAGGTGTCCTGGGCTTTTCTCAAATTCTGTAAGGTGGTGGTGCAGTGTCGAATAAAAACTGTCCGTGGGAGCTCTTAGGTGTGCTGCAGCAGTGAAATTTTTTGGAACAGTTTTTTAACTCTTCTTGAAATACATGAGAAATAGCGGGTCACTTTGGCAGTTAAAAAAAAAAAATCTGTTTTATCATTTCCTAAGACTTGAATTTACTGGCAGAAATACTCCAGAATGAGTAAGTGATTTGAGAAGTAGGATCATTTAATAAAAAAAAAAAGTCAGGCACGGTGGTTCTTCTCAAATCACAGTAAACTGTGCCTGATGTTTTTTTGTTAGCACATGTTATTGGGCTTTTAGTGGCGTTTGGTTCTGGGATATTTTTTTAATGGCAGAATTAGTGAGGAGCATCGTGTGAATAGGATACATGCCTGCTTCCTGCTCAGCCTCCAGATCTCCAGCAACCTCCCAGACAACCTGCATGGTCCAGTTCCATGTTCCCTTTGCTGATGTCTGCAAGAGTCAGTAAATCAAGTTCCACTTCCAGGCAGAGATTAGGAGACCGTAGCCTTGAGTATAATTATGCGTTTTCCACTTTGTCCATTAGAAAATCCTTGGTTTAAAAGGTAGCTGAGGGTGCTCTGAATTTCTGGCTCGGTAAGCAGTGGGTTACTGGGCTCTGCAGCGGAGCGTGGGGTGAGGTTTGCAGGAGAACCAGCGCTCTGGTCATAGCATGGTGTTGCCTCCCTTGCCGTCAGTTGAGAAGTGGCTTTGTTTTCAGGTTTCTTCCAATCCATAGTTTCTTATTTCCCTGTTACCTTGGTGTCCAGATGCATTCTGTGGGAAATTACTGTTACTTCCTCAGCTGTATTCCAGATGCAGCATTTCTGAAACCTTCTGAAAAATGTCATTTTTCCTGCTTGCTCGTCAGATCAGCATTCAGTAAAACACCGAGGTGATGGCAGCTTGTAGGTGAAGATCCCCGAAGGCCAGAGCCGACAGCTCCATGTTTTTCAGCACGTCAGCTTCCCATCCTTCCCATCCCGTGGGCGCTGGCTGTAGAGGTGTCTGCTCTGCACCCGGAGAAGGTTGGATAGGCAAAACTTGTGCCGTGGGCTGCGGCCGGCAGGCAGTCCTCCTGAATTCAGCAAGTCCTTTAAATTTTCCTGAAGCTCTCCAGGGCTGTTTGGTTTGACCTTTATTTAGTTAGAGTATCCCTTCTAGGAAAGCAATTATTGCCAGCCCCTGGGGTGGCTGCTGTAAACTGGGTTTTGCTGCGCTGGAGCAGTTGTGGTCACGAGCTCTGTAGTTAAGCATCAGCTCTAGTTTCTAACCCTTACTTCTTCCTAACCTGAAATAAAATAATTTTGGTTTCGGAGTTTCCATAGCTGGTCTCGGTGTAATAGTGACTTAGGTGTTGGTTCTGGCTTTTTTTTTTTTAACTGTGTTGAATTAGGGAGGAAAAGAACTCGGTTTTTGTCCATCAGGTTTGGTTAAATTATTGTGTTATCCCGATTACATTAGA